TAAACCTTCCACTGTTCCGACCTGCTTGCCGTTGGTTTTGGTTGGGCCACTTCCTGTCTGATTGTCCAGACCTAGGCAGCCAATCAGCACCCCCCTTCCCCTGTTGAGGAGATTGGGACTGCTCTCGCGGTTTAACAGGTCTAGGTTTAGCAGATTTTGGCTTAGTGGGTGGAGCTTCTGTGCCTTCGAGCTCCAAACGCGGCTCGGCGTCGGGAGCTAGGTGCATGACGCGGTGACGTGCGTCAGGCTTTTGGGGCTTTCCGCCGGCTTCCCAAGCCTGTTGGGCGTATCTCCTAACCTCCTGAGTTGTCAGTTTTTTCATCCGACAATACATTGAGACTTCGGAGCGAACACACTCGTGCAGGTTGTGAATGAACAGGGATCTGAAGGCAGGGTCTTCCTCGAGCCCAGGGCCGTTTCGACCTTGGAAATAAGCACTTTTGAGTCTGCGATAATACTCTCTGGGGGGTTCGTTCCTCCCGTGTTTGATGGAGAAGGCCCCCATTGTAGCTGACGCGGAGTCTGCATACGTGGCGTATTCATCCCTCAACGCTCGGCAGAGCGAGGAGTACCGATCTCGAATGTCAGATGGTAGAGTTTCCATGAAACCATGCACCGTTCTAGATGTAGTTTTCCAAATTAGCTTGAGCTTTTCCCTTGAAGAGGGTGCTGGAAGATCAAGCAGACAACGTTCTATCTCCCTGAGATAATCGTCAACATTGGATTCATTGGTGTTAGGATCAAAGCGTTCTATGTCTTTAGCTAGCGATTCAATTTGACGTACACGGAGCCCTGACTCACGGTACGGCGCGTCATCCTCTGACTCTGACCCACGGTCTGTCTCAGAGGGCGCTGGATATCGCTGGTGTGCTCTGGGCTCCCAATGTTGACTCCTGGGGCCCAAATCGGGGTCCGGCATGTTGTGGCGGGCTGCTGGCACGTCACGTGGGTGTCCTGGGAGATCCTCCTCCCGGGGCACGTCTGCGTAGTGCAGCCTGCGTCTTTCAACTGGGGCATCTGCGTAATACGTTTTGTCCGGGTACGGACTGGCGTATGATGCTTTGTCCTGCAGCTGGTTATCGGCATGCCGAATACCGGAGTAGCTAGGATGGGTGGATGGTGGAGGTGCAGGTTGGGCTTGTGCATAACCCCAGCCGGCACCTTGCACCCTTCGTGGACTGGGGGAGCGGTCTAAATAGAGGTGCCGCTCAGCTGGTCGACTTCTCACTGATTGAGAAGGCCGTGAAGATGAGGGTGGTGGTCCAACCTGGGGTTCGAGGGCGAATTGCCCTCGGCCCCTAGGTGGTCCTGAATGCCCTATAGTGTGTGTAGGGAACGGGGCCGAAGGTTGGGACAGATAAGCTTCATCTCTCCCCTGCGGCGTGCTTCCGTCCAGAGAGTCATGGTGTTTCCCCCCTTCCCACTGTCTGTTGTCATCAGCAGAGGGGGGCGGGGTCTCCTCCCCATCTTCCCCAGAATCGGTGCGGGTGTCGTCTTCCTCGATCAGCCTTCCATTTCGCTGTTTTTCAGCTAGCATACTCTGGAGGTTCATGATCTTCTGACCACGTTGGAGTCCTCTCTGATAGAGGATCAGGGCTAACTTAGCTAAGTGAACCTGGATTGGTTTTGTACCATCCGGGTTTTCTATTTGATCAATTACAGCTTCTAGCTCGTCGCTACGCTGTTCTTCAGTGAAATCCCTAGAAGGGTAGTCGGGTTCTCGAGCAACCGCGACCAGTTTGGACAATAATTGTCCAGAAAGTAGGCCAGGTTCATAGTCGTGGGCCGCAGCGCCACCTGGTTGCTGGGAGTTGGTCAGGTCACTACTCTGTCCCTCCATTTTAACAACCGAACCAAAAATAGCCTAGTAGAGCTTCTGCAGATAGCTCAAACTGCACCTTTTGGGCAGTAACTGCTAGCTTTGTAGCAGAAAAACACTAAATTAACCTTTGTGCGCACAGGTTTTAGCGTTTTAAGATTGCACGGAATGCCGTGACTAACGCCTAAAATACTATTCCTTTCAGTATTTTAGCAAAAGCTGGTGCGTTGCCGTAGCAACGTCTTACAACACTTGCAGTGTTAAATATGCTAGTTATTCCTTCAGAATATTAGCAAACAAGGTGTTATCAGTCTTTGAGTGAAGGTTTCAGTTAGTTACAATAGCCACTGTGAGTTAAAGTCGCTAAATTAGCAGTTAATTTTAGCCTAAAAGGGTTAGTCAGAATTACTTACACGCTGCACCTTTAATGAGGAACTGAATTTTAACCTAAAAGGTTAGCCAGAATTAATTACACGTTGCACCTTTAAGGAAAACTGAATTTTAACCTAAAAGGTTAGCCAGAATTAATTACACGTTGCACCTTTAAGGAAAAGCTGAATTTTAACCTAAAAGGTTAGCCAGAATTAATTACACGTTGCACCTTTAAGGAAAACTGAATTTTTAACCTAAAAGGTCAACCAGAATTAATTTACACGTTGCACCTTTAAAGAAGCACTGAGTTACTGGTGAGAGTTCGATGCAGCTTCCTGCTCAGCGAAATCAGCACCACTCTGTTGCTGGTTCAAGGCTGAACAACTGATTATTTTTAATTCAAGCTCTTTGGATTTATTTGTTTGTTTGTGCCGGATAGAAATCTCTGTGTATCCAAGCCTCACACGGCCGCACCAATAAAATGTTGGGGTTATTAGGAGCGAACAATTAGTAAGCTTCAACTTACTTTTGGATTCTTCAATAAATTCTGTAAATATGGGAATATTTACTGATTTATTAATTAATTAAGATATTCTTAGATATACGGGGCACCATTCCCCTTTTTCCGGGGAAAAATTGAATCCAAAACTCTTATCAGTCTTTCTTGAAGTTCGTAGAATCCTTGGAGCAGAGACTTCTCTTCGACACAACAAAGCTACTGGACACAAAAATCTGAATTTTATAACATTTAATTAACAATTTGTCAAATGAATAAATAGTGGAATAGATGAATAATAACCGTGTGATATGATTGAAGATGGATGTGTTTGCATGTGATGGAGGATGTATGAATGGGGTCCTTTGTTCTCACAAAGGAGTAGTGTGTATGTGTGTGTGTGTGTGTGTGTGTGTGTGTGCGTGTGTATGGATTCAAAATGGAGTCTTGAATACAAGATGGCTGACCCCTTTGTCTGGCTAAAGTGTGGGTGGCAACTTGCACTTTAACTTCCAAAGCACTTAGAATCAGTAGTAACTTAACCTTAAATCACTCAAAACATTTCAAAAGATCATGAAACAACACAAAAGATTAATCACAAATTAATATCTTTTAGTTTCAGCCTGGCCATGACAGAAACCATTTTAAGATACCAAACAATGATCAATAAGCAGTTTATTCTTCAAAATGACCCGACGGACGTGTTTGGGACGAAAGAGGAAAACACGAAGCTACTTTTTAAGCAATAGACGCGGTTTATTGCTTATTTGAGACTATAGAGGAAACGGGAGAAGGAAAGAATGAGAGAAAGAGATGAGTTTCTGATCACCAGAACAGTGAAGCGTCCCTCACTGTTTTGATTTGACGGTTCTCCGTGTTTCTCCGCAGTTTGGCGTCGTCCGTTGGTTTGATGCTTTCTCCGTTGTTTGGCTCCACGAGTGTTTCTCCACGGCTGGACACAAAGAAAACGAAGTTCCTTTTGGGCTGAGTTTGACAACTTACAGCGTTTCTGAGAGCTGGATGGAGTTGTTGTTTCCCTCCGCGGGTTCTGTGTCCTCAAACATCAGCTGGAGGGGAGCAGAAACGAGCAGATCAGCGGTCCCGTGGGCTCAACTTGGCTCTTAGAGCTTCCGCGTGCTCAAAGAAGTCGGAGCGTTCGACAAGCGTGTCCTCACCGCCAGGTATCCTGGGCAAAAGAACGAGGTTTCTTTGTCTCATTCATGATTTATAGTCTTTGAAGTCGCGGGAAAGCTCCAAGCTCCCGCCTCCCGCAGATCGTGTTTCTGGTATTAGGCGGTGACGTCATCACAATGCTTCCGTGTGCAAAGCATCATGGGAAATGAAGTTTCTTGGCGCTGATGTGATTATTTGCTTTTCAGAGCAATTTAAGCACAGTCATTTTGGAGAAAATCACTGCATAGTAATTTCCTCATGAGGTCAGACCCTCAACAAAAGTTACTTTTTTCGTAACATACGTGGTGCATTTGACAAGACAGAGCTGAAAACGGCTCGTGCTGCGTCAGTCACTGCCTCCGCTCCGGTCGTTTTTTTTCCTTCTCTCTCTCTCCTCTTCCTCAGGATCCACTCCCTCTTTCCTATTCACTGTCTTTTTCCTTACATTTTTTAATCACAATTGTCTATTTTTTGCCCATTTGAAATATATTTTAATCATTTTCTAAATTCTTTTTTCTATTTTACATGTTTTGTTTTTGTGAAGCACCCCGTGATTTTTATCTTGAGAGGCGCTATAGAAAAGATCTCTTCTTCTCACTCTCTCTCTTAATTCATGCACTTAAATATTAATGTTCAGATTTTATTGAAAAACTTGTTCTGTAATAGTTCCTTTACTATTGTGATCAAAAATATTTAATCTCAACTCTGAGGCTGCTCTGTAAATAGTTTTCAAATAAACAATACACATAGCAACTTCTGATCAGACTTAAAATAACGTATTGATGTAAACCACACTCACTTGCAGTTAAACTACACCCACTTCCGTGTTAGGCCACGCCCACTCCAAGTATAGATACGGATACAGATAATTCAGATGGTTGAACAGATACAGATAGATAGTGGTGTACTCGCTCATCCCTACTACCAAACTACAGTAAAACCAGGCTGATGCCAACAGTTTATGTCTCACTTCAATAATGATTTGATGTCTCTGCTCTTAAACAAAGCAAATAATTAGCCCTGCTCAAATATCTTTATAGATCTTTCACTAAAGTTAAAGAAATCTAATACCCTTATTTTAGGACTCAACCTTTTATCCCACCAAGTGGGATGGCATAAAATATACATGACACATAAAAGTTTTCATTGAGAACTTTATTGAATATATCATATCTATATGTATATACTCTCTATACATATATATCCTCTCTACATCTGGCCTTTTTCATAGATAATTGGTATTGTATTGCTTTTCCTTATGTCATCATTTTCCTATTCTTGAATCACTCAACTTTAAGGAAATATACCAACTTTCTATTTGAAGAGTTTCAGTCTTTTGTGTCAGTAGCCCAAGTGTTGGGAAAGAAACAGTTTTTAAGCTAGTTTTAGAATGGCTTTAACAAGATTTTACAAACATTTAGGAAACATTTTTCTGTTATTGATCCTGTAACAACAGACAAACTTTGAGAAGTGAATGTTTGTATGTAAAAACTTCTGAGATCACCAGTACAGACCACACATAGTGCCCTTTACCAGCACTAAGGCTACTGTTTATATTTCACAGGCAGACATGTAGCCTTTTTAGCCCCAGGTCACTGGTGTACGAACTTGGAAACAACATGACATTAAGAATATCTACACACATCACCACCAAAATAAATATAATAATATAAATTCTATTACCTACAGGTACACACTAGTTTGAACATTAAAAAACACAGAATATTAGGCTACGTTGGTTATGTGTAGAAAGTATAACATCTATGCATTTCCTGAAAATAAATGAAGACAGCATGACTTTGGGAGAGAGATGAGAGGAATATAAAATTTTAGAGAGGGACCAACATAGCCACACACACACACACACACACACACACACACACACACACACACACACACACACACACACTTGTCTTATTAGTTGAGAGGACCTTCATTGACCTCCATTATTTTTAATGATGGCATTATGTCTAACCCTAACCATTACTGGTCCCTTTCTAACCCTAACCTTGGCCAGAATTTAATTCACACCATTCATTCAAACCTGTTAAATAAAGCTAGTTAAAACTGTAACAAAGTGAGGACCAGGAAAAATGTCCTCACTTTATTGGTAAAACATGAGGCAATGGTCCTCAGTAAGTAGTAACGACAAGAACACACACACACACACACACACACACACACACACACACACACACACACACACACACACACATGCTTGCCTTACTAGTTGAGAGGATCTTAATTGATTCCATTCATTTTAGCATTTTGGCATTGTCTAACCCTAACCTTGACCAGAACTTAATTCACACCATTCCTTCAACCCCAATAAATAAAGCTAAATAAAAGTGGAACAAAGTGAGGACCAGGAAAAATGTCCTCACTTTGCAACGAATTTCCACACTTTATTGGTGAAGCACAAGGCAATTGTCCTCAGTAAGTAATAAAGACAAGTTCTCTCTCTCTCTCTCTCTCTCTCTCTCTCTCTCTCTCTCTCTCCCTCACACACACACACACACACACACACACACACACACACACACACACACACACACACACACACACACACACACACACACACACACACACATGTATGCAAACAGAAATACACACAGTTTAAAATAAATCCATAACATAAATACAAGTGAATAAAAATGAAATTGAAAAAAAAAATCCAAATAAAAAACTGGAGAACAATTATATATCAGTAGAATACAGAGTAATATTTTTGTAAAACCAGTATTCACAGTTGTATGACCTTTGGACAAAAGAGGAACTTAAATTTACCCCTTTTTAGTTTATGGCATAAAGGAGATGATTTACATGGGTAATAACCAAACAAAAATCACTTTTTAAAACAAAAATGAACTTGCCCTTTAGCAAGGCACATTGTCCAGTGTTGCTTGAAGGCGGCTGCCCATAAACCAGCTGGACACTGGGGTTTATACTGAGCAACCCTCAGTTCCAGTGTGTGACAACAAAGCAGGGCGTTGCTGAAACAGAGCATGCACACTCAGTCAACTCTCCCTGCAAAAATCAATTCAAACACAATAATGACAAGAATACAGAAAATAAGGAATTGTACATCATTGACCTCTCACGTATTGTGCACATGCTTTCCACATGACACCACTGACTTTAGTGTACATAGGAAAGGGAAAATAAAGTAAAAGAATGTAAAAAGATACAAAATAAAATTAATTTTAAAATGTGTAAATACCCTGCAATAATTATTACGATCATAGAAACACCAGCAACGTAATATCAACACTCAAAGACTTCTTGTAACCTAAAGATGATAATTACTCACACATAATAAATAAAGAAGTCAGAGTTTATCATTTACAGACATTATGTGCTTTAGTTTAAGTTAATGGGTTGATCAACTAATTCATAGTACATTTATTATTCTAAATTGTAAAACATTATATATAGCTATAGTTTATAGACAGACAGTGGAAAGGGAATTAAGAGTGTGCTCTTTTCTTTCCTTGTTAGGTAAAATGTTTATTTTAGAAGTGAATCCAATTTTCAATCATTCAGTCTAAATACATGTGGCGTTTTATACAGATCAGAATTTCTAGGCTTTGATTTTCATTTTGAAAAAAAAAAAAACTAAAACACCCAGAGAATATATTTTTCACAAATATTTTCATAAGGATTTCCTTAATTGCTTCGTGTCATTTTTACAAGTTTTAATTGTCAAAATGTAATACTGGAGCTGTAGGTCATAATAACTTTTACATCTAACTAAATATACACCCCATGAGTGTGAACTAATTTAAGCCCCACCCTGTTGCTTTCTTTTCCAGCCTTTAGCAGCAACACTCAACTGATTCTGTCTTAGAGCCTTCTGTATCTCATCACAGTCATAAAAAATAAACCAAATCATTTTGGAGCAATTAAACGTCACACAAAAGAGGTTTGTTTTACAAGAGTCTGTTATTGACTTTGACATCCTTCCAAAAAGCTGACATAACCATAGTTTTAGAGCAGGGAGGTACATTTGGAGTCATCCATCTGTGCACTGAAACTTATTTGCAAAGTTTTTAGCAATATTAAGTATGATCTCTCCCTGAGTTTGGAAAACCATTTTCAAATCTTAACTGTACAGTGATAATGGTGAATATTTGGACTGCCAATAAATAAATAAATTACTGGGTAGGTTTCAAGGATTTTCTGATACTGATTGTACAGTTTGGGCATCCATCTATCCATATTTGGTCATCTGAAGTTGGGTGTAGTAGCCAGTTTTAGGTGGGAAAACCACCAGTTCATCCCTCAACAAAACCATTTATCTCTTCCTTAAGGAATGTCAAAGCATTCCCAGGCCAGAGGTTTATACAATCCCTCCAGCAAGTTCTGGGTCGGCCCTGTAAACAATTAAGATCCACGTCTGGAAAATCATCAATAGGAGGTGAAAGAAACCTTCTCAAATGCCCAAACCACCTCAAGTGACTGTTTTCAATGTAGAGGATCTGCTGCTCTCCAACCTTTTACATCCATACCAGAGCCGGACTAATATCATGGAAGTAGATTTCAACTAATTGTATCCAGGATCTTTTGTAAACGGTCTAAAATTCTTATCTATAAATTACGTGAACTATTCCACAAGAGGTGAAAACACACTCAACCTGGAAGGACCATTCTACCTTCAGGCCATTCATCTTTTTTTCACCAATTTGGTGTAAAAAAATAAAGCTCTAAATTGCTCAACATTATGAAATATGAAATTCTGTCAATCTGTACAATTGTATCTGATATTTACTGACAAATGTCAGGAGTTTAACCTCTGATAAAAATGACTGCATCAAAATTCAGTGTGATGTGTTCTCAGCTTAGCTCTACTCTTTTGAGGACTGAATGCCCATTTCTCACTGCAGTTAACTTAAACACACTCTGAATAATAAATTGACTTTGAAGAGAGGCAGCCTGCTCCCATGTGTGCCATTAGGTTAGATATGGCTGAGGGGACACTCTGTGGACCAGAGGTTAAGCAGCTATTTTTGATCTGGAATTGGTCACTGAGCAGCTTGTTACCTGGTACTTTGGTGTGACATTTAGCTCCCTTTCAGAAATTTGTCACGCGAGTGTGGCCCAGATTATCTTAGACACTGAATTAGCTTTTATTGTGAATTTTGAACATGATGGATAAGTTACAAAGACTTGTGTTGCATTTTCAGTATCCTATATCCTGGACCATCTGTGCTTTTAAGATTTAATGCAGTGAAAATGATTATGCAAACAACATCAGACCTTTTATGACAGCTTATGAGACTTATTGTAACTATGGCTGTTAAATACTTCAGGCTCGAGGACAGAAACATTGATGTTGAAGTGTCATCCACACCTTTAAAGCCCTAAATACTTTCTGCCTACCTTCAAGCCCTTCTCTGTAAGGTTTTGCTTTAAACTGGCGTAGTCTTCCTGTTGAGTGTATCGGAATTGCTATCCCTGTCCCGTTTGGCTGTCAGTCGGTCCAGGGTTCCAACATTGCCCCTGTCCCTTTCCATGGTAGCTGTAGATATTGGGGCTGACGGGGCTGGTGCAGCAGCGGATGTGGGGGTATTCAGTGGCGCGGTATTCTGGGCCACAGCTGCTGCCGCTGCCAAGTTGGACTTCGAGTGAGACGGGAGGGTGCCACTGCTTATTACTGCGCCTCCTCCTGCTCCACTGCCGCTGGAATCTTTTGGGAAGTAGTTGTGGAGCTGGTAAAGCGTGGCACGGTCCACTGTGCCATAGAGTGGTGGAGCCCCTCCTCCAAGGCTCCCCAGCTTGGAGTCCCTAGAGAGGGTGTACATGGAGATATCACCGCCCCCTCCACTCCCACCACTGCTGCTGTGATGCGGGTTGGGCAAAGTGGCGACGGAGAACGGTGGTGCAGAAGGAGGAAGAGTGAAGGTCTTAGAAGCTCCAACGGGGGAGGTCTCCTGCGAGCGAGGCGGATCGGTAGAGCGCGAACTGGAGCGGGAGCGCCGTCTGAAACGGTAGCTCGGCAGACGCAGCATGGCATGAGTGGTGCTCTTGAAGAGGTCAGTGCGCGAGCGGCATCGAAGCTCTTTGTTCTTTTCAATGTAGATGTTAACAGCCAGAACTCCAACCATCTCAGCCAGAATGAAGGACAGACCACCAAAATAAAATGACCACCCATAGGAGTAGTGCCACTTTTTATCCTCGTCTTTCTTTGGGGAGATGTCACTGAGTGCCGCTGAAATGTACACAATCACTCCAATGATGTTGCTGAGGCCTGGGGAGGAACATAACATTACTTTACTAAAAAGGTTTTTGAGGACATGCTACGTAATGCACTAAAAGAGATGGTGATGCCAATAACAAAACCTTGGATACAATAGAAAATTACTTACTAGGGATGAGAAACGAGTACCCGGCACGGATAAAGCAGTTTTGACGAATACGAGCATGAAACGAGTAAAACTCGAAAATATCTGTAATCGTGCTGAAGGAAAATCCTCATTGGGTAACTGACTGTCTTCACGCTCTGTGATTGGCCAGTCACATAGCGCGCCCGCCCCTCCCTACACACAAAACTCTGTAGCCGGGAGCTCAGTCCGGCTCATCCACACACACTGACAGTAACAGATCTCTCTGTGCTTGCTTCACTGTTGCTCTCGTTTCTTCAGTACTCCCTAGGTTTTCATCAGCTCACCTCTTTTTCGGTTTAAGATTTGAAGTTACTTTTTTCATAACGTACGTGGTGCATTTGACAAGACAGAGCTAAAAACTGCTCGTGCTGCGTTGGTCACTGCCTCCGCTCCACTCGGGTTTTTATTCCCCCCCTCTCTGTGTATCAGAGGTGGGAAAAATGATCGATTCTAAGATGCATCGCGATTCAGCCTTGCATGATTCCGCATCGATGCAGCAACGTGACATAATGAGATTGTCTCCCTATGTCTATGTCGGGGGTCGGCAACCGCGGCTCTGGAGCCGCATGCGGCTCTTCCATCCGTCTGATGCGGCTCTCTGTGCTTGTAAAATAATGAATGGATATTTACATAAAATGCTTTATATTTTACTGCATTAATTTTACATCTGTATGCCAATTCTAAATGTAAAGATTGTCTGCGTAAACCTGAACAGTTCCAACCCGGTCTTACTGTGAGACCGGGTAGACGCGTCACGCTTGTGCGTAATCATAGGCGTGTTCTGAGCTGACGAGGATGTGAGATTCTGGGATTTTCCTCAGCTCCTGGATGTGTCGCCACATTGGAGACAGGAACAAGTGCTATTCAGCCAAAGTTTCATAATCAGGGAACATTTTCTAAGTGACAAGTCAGTCGGAGGAATCTTCCTGCATGCGCCCTGGTTCTGCGACGTGCTCCAAGCCCCTCTCCACTTCTTCAGCTCACTGTGCGCCGTACGTTCGCGCTGACAGCGAGTTGCGCTGAGCTCAGTGTCCAGCTCAGATGGGAATCTTTTCTTAAGTGATTTAGCTACATCTGCGATGTGCGAAACGAATAAAATGTCAGTTCGTCTGCATGCGTCGGGGTAATTCTTTCTGTTCTTTCTCCATCAAAATAAATAATCAAAAATGGGAACTATCCGGTCAACACAACACATGCCCTGCTTTTAACAGTTTTGTTTTCTTGTGAAAATAGTTAAATTTAACTTGATTAACACCAGAGCCAGGCGCACTGCGACGTTATCTCCGTCACTGTAAATGAGGGAAAAACAAAATGATCGGATCCTTTTCTGACCTTCCCCACCTACAAAGTTTAATTACAACAATCAAACGTGACAGAGCCTGGATTTGTATTCTGAACAGTCTAAACATGTTTTAAAAGAATCGTATGACAAAAGTGGCACCTGCTCAGTAAAACCACCAACAGGGTGAAAAATATCAAAATATTGTAGGCAGAGACGGGCTACAACTTCTGGATCCACTGTATATAAATCGTTTGATTGATTATCTTCTTATGAAAGATAACTTTGACGTACACGAGCGACCGACCGGTACCGGCTGCTGTCTGAGGGTAGGCCCCGCCCACAATGCCGCAGCTGCTGCAGTGTTTTCTTTACTGTGGGAAACGGGTAATAATGGCTCTTTGATGGGAACAGGTTGCCGACCCCTGGTCTATGTCTATGCGAGGACAATAAAATTTTGAGGTATTACTTCTGGGGGCAGAGTTGCAATGACATGCGCACTGCGTTGTCCTAGAAGCAATTGGACAGGGATACAGGGCCACCATTACCAGTAATCAAAGATGTACCCGTTACATTTAAATCGGATGTCTGGGCTAATTTCTGTTTTGGGATCCTTGAACCGTCACCTTATCGTGGTGGAGGAGTTTGAGTGCCCTAATGATCCTAGGAGCTATGTTGTCTGGGGCACTTAGTGCCCCTGGTAGGGTCTCCCATGACAAATTGGTCTTAGGTGAAGGGTGAGACAAAGAACGGTTCGAAGGATCTTTCATGGCGGTTAAAATGAAGAGTCGGAGTACCCGGCCCGGAGGGTTACCGGGGTCCCACCCTGGAGCCAGGCCTGGGGTTGGGGCCCGTGAGCGAGCGCCTGGTGGCCGGGCTTTCGCCCATGGGGCCCGGCCGGGCCCAGCCCGAACCGGATACATGGGCTCGTCCAACTGTGGACCCACCACCCGCAGGAGGAACATGAAGGGTCCGGTGCAATGCGAATCGGGTGGCAGACCAAGGCGGGAGCCTTGGCGGTCCAATCCCCGGACAAGAAAACTAGTTTTTGGGACATGGAACGTCACCTCGCTGGCGGGGAAGGAGCCGGAGCTTGTGGCAGAGGTTGAGCGGTACCGGCTAGATATAGTCGGACTCACCTCGACACATTGCATTGGCTCTGGAACCCGAGACCTGGAGAGGGGTTGGACACTCTACTTTGCTGGAGTTGCTCCGGGTGAGAGGCGGAGGGCTGGGGTTGGCTTTTTGTTAGCTCCGAGACTCTCTGCCTGTGTGTTGGGGTTTACCCCGGGGGACAAGAGGGTAGCTTCCTTGCGCCTTCGGGTCGGGGAACGGGTCCTGACTGTTGTTTGTGCTTATGGGCCAAATATCAGTTCAGAGTACCCACCCTTTTTGGAGTCCCTGGGACGAGTGCTAGATAGTGCTCCATCAGGGGACTCCATTGTCCTGCTGGGGGACTTCAATGCTCACGTGGGCAATGACAGCTTGACCTGGAGGGGTGTGATTGGGAGGAACGGCCCACCTAATCTGAACTCGAGCGGTGTTTTGTTATTGGACTTCTGTGCAAGCCGCAGTTTGGCCATAACGAACACCATGTTCGAACATAAGGATGCCCACCGGTACACTTGGTACCAGGGCAGCCTAGGTCACAGGTCGATGATAGATTTTGTAGTCGTATCATCTGACCTGCGGCCGTATGTTTTGGACACCCGAGTGAAGAGAGGGGCGGAGCTGTCAACTGATCACCACCTGGTGGTGAGTTGGATCAGATGGCAAGGGAACATGCCGCGTAGACCTGGCAGACCCAAACGCATAGTGAGGGTCTGCTGGGAACGCCTGGCAGAAGAACCTGTCAAGACGGTCTTCAACTCCCACCTCCGGCAGAGCTTTGACCACGTCCCGAGAGCAGTGGGGGACATTGAGTCCGAGTGGGCCTTGTTCCACTCTGCGATTGTCGAGGCGGCTGTTGCTAGCTGTGGCCGTAAGGTGGCCGGTGCCAGTCGTGGTGGCAACCCCCGTACCCGCTGGTGGACACCAGAGGTTCGGGGAGCCGTCAGGCTGAAGAAGGAGGCCTACAGGGCGTGGCTGGTCTGTGGGTCTCCGGAGGCAGCAGACAGGTACCGGATAGCCAAGCGGGGTGCAGCAGTGGCAGTTGCCGAGGCAAAATCTCGGGCGTGGGAGGAGTTTGGTGAGGCCATGGAGAAAGACTATCGATCGGCTCCAAAGAGGTTCTGGCAAACTGTCCGGCGCCTCAGGAGAGGAAGGCAGCAACTCGCTCACACTGTTTACAGTGGGGATGGGGAGCTGCTGACGTCAACTGAGGCTATAGTCGGACGGTGGAAGGAATACTTTGAGGAGCTCCTCAATCCCACCAATGCGCATTCCGAGGAGGAACCAGAGCTGGGAGGCCTGGGGATGGACTGTCCGATCTCGGGGGCAGAAGTTGCTGAGGTAGTCAAACAACTACACAGCGGCGGAGCCCCGGGGGCGGATGAGGTTCGTCCTGGGTATCTCAAGGCTATGGATGTTGTAGGGCTGTCATGGTTGACACGTCTCTACAACATTGCGTGGTCATCGGGGGCAGTTCCTAGGGAGTGGCAGACCGGGGTGGTGGTCCCCATCTTTAAGAAGGGTGACCTGAGGGTGTGTTCCAACTATAGGGGGATCACACTCCTCAGCCTCCCTGGAAAGGTCTACGCCAAGGTACTGGAGAGGAGGGTCCGATCGATAGTTGAATCTCAGATAGAGGAGGAGCAATGTGGTTTTCGTCCTGGCCGTGGAACTGTGGACCAGCTCTATACCCTTGCAAGGGTGATGGAGGGGGCATGGGAGTTTGCCCAACCAATCCACATGTGTTTTGTGGATTTGGAGAAGGCTTATGACCGTGTCCCCAGGGGCACCCTGTGGGGGACGCTCCAGGAGTATGGGGTGGGTGGCTTTCTGTTAAGGGCCATTCAGTCCCTTTACCAGAGGAGCGTGAGTTTGGTCCGCATAGCCGGTAGTAAGTCGGACCTGTTCCCAGTGAGGGTTGGACTCCGCCAGGGCTGCCCTTTGTCACCGGTTCTGTTCATCACTTTTATGGACAGAATTTCTAGACGCAGCCGTGGTGTGGAGTGTGTCGAGTTTGGTGGCAGGAGAATCTCGTCTCTGCTTTTTGCGGATGATGTGGTCCTCCTAGCTTCATCCAGCTCTGACCTTCAGCTCTTGCTGGGTAGGTTCGCGGCCGAATGTGAAGCGGCTGGGATGAGGATCAGCACCTCCAAATCTGAGACCATGGTTCTCGACCGGAAAAGGGTGGCTTGCCACCTCCGGGTCGGGGGAGAGGTCCTACCTCAAGTGGAGGAGTTTAAGTATCTCGGGGTCTTGTTCACGAGTGAGGGTAGGAGGGATCGGGAGATCGACAGGCGGATTGGTTCGGCGTCTGCAGTGATGCGGACGCTGAGCCGATCTGTCGTGGGGAAGAGGGAGCTGAGCCAGAAAGCCAGGCTCTCGATTTACCGGTCGATCTACGTCCCAATCCTCACCTATGGTCATGAGCTTTGGGTAATGACCGAAAGAACGAGATCGCGGATACAAGCGGCCGAAATGAGTTTCCTCCGTAGGGTGGCCGGGCTCAGCCTTAGAGATAGGGTGAGGAGCTCGGACATTCGGGAGGGACTCGGAGTAGAACCGCTGCTCCTCCGGATCGAAAGGAGCCAGTTGAGGTGGTTTGGGCATCTGGTCAGGATGCCTCCTGGACGCCTCCCCGGGGAGGTGTTTCGGGCATGTCCTGCCGGCAGAAGGCCCCCGGGTCGACCCAGGACACGTTGGAGAGGTTACATCTCCAATCTGGTCCGGGAACGCCTTGGGGTCCTGCCGGAGGAGCTGGTGGACAAGGCCGGGGAGAGGACGGCCTGGAGCTCCCTAGTTGGGATGCTGCCCCCGCGACCCGGACCCGGATAAGCGGAGGAAGACGAGACGAGACGAGACGAGACGGGATGTGAAAGAATCACTTAACACAGTATTTGTTTACTATTTTTAAGTTCAGTAATATTCTATCTTAAAGCTGCTCTACCGAAAACATTATTTCTTGAATTATTTAAGTCATTATAGGCAGCACACTTTAAACATTATTGCTCACTATAGTGAATAGATGAATGTTCTGTTTTTCAGGGATTTCGAAATCAAAAAGAAATTGAAAACTATTCTACTGCTTTTATTAAGTAATGAAAATTTTTGTGTGAAGAATCGTGATGCATTTCAGACTCAAATCGAATCGTTAGGCAGATCGGAATTGGATCGAATCGTGAGGCAGGTAAAGATGCACACCACTATTGTGTATGTATGTATTAATTCATGCACATGAATGTTAATGTTCTGATTTTATTGAAAAACTTGTTCTGTAACAGTTCCTTTACTATTGTGATCAAAAATATTTTATCTCAATTCTGAGGCTGTTCTGTAAATTGTTTTCAAATCAACAATACACATAGCAGCTTCTGATCAATCCAGATCAATTTCAGACTTAAAATAATGTATTGATGTAAACCACACCCACTTCCGGGTTAGGTCACGCCCAATCTGAGTACAGATACAGATAATTTAGATGGTTTAACAGATACAGATAGTGGTGTACTCCCTCATCCCTAATGAATATATCTGACAAACACATCCAAAAGTATAAAATGGCAATCGTTCATTTCCGTCCGTATGTTGCAAAAAGTGTTCAAGTGCCAAACCTTGTCAAAACCTCAAAAGAAGCACAATCAAGTATTCATCTCACCTGCAGCTACAAAGAGAATTCCTCCACCAAGAATGATGTTCCTTTTGCTCTTGTAGAAGCCGCTGGAAGCAACACACACTCCTCCCAGTAGAAGCAATATGGCACTGAGAATGGGGAAGATGCTGGAAGCTCTCACCACACCTGCAGACACATCAGGTTTTACATGATTAATCCTCTGGGACACAAGTAGAAAATGTTCTTCATCTTCTGGTTCAAGCACAACCAGAACCTGCAAAGAATGGAGCTTCATGATACTCTGGAGGGACCAAGCCAACACTACCCTTGAAACAGTAGCCACTTCTTTACTTTTACCTGACTTTTGGCTTTATGGACTTTTATTGCTCCATTGGTAAACCTGTGAACTTTAGAATACCATAAAAATCTTAATGTTCACTTTTCAAGGTATTATGAAATTTCACCTTCCTACATTTCAGACATCTTTTCAAAATGTCCAAAAAATAGAGTGACAAATTTGTGAGGTCAATTGTACCTGGATGTCTCTAGATCAAAGTGCAAACAGTGAGGTGTTCACAATTTTGTTGTGGCCACCACAAAATTTTGGGGCAAACTGCCCCCTGATCTATGCACCGACACAGAATGTCACTCCTTAGAAGTGGACTTAAACTGTACCTTTTTGTAAGGCTTTTAATCCTTAGATGTGCCCACCTTTATTGCATTATGTTGCTTTTTTGTTTTAAGCTGTTTTTCCTCTGTTTTATGTTGTTATCTGTTTTTATTTGGTTTCATTCCCATTTTTGTTATTTTGGTAGCTATATTTTGGTCTTTTATTGTGAAGCACTTTGTACATGTTAAAGTGACAATGTGTAGTTTTTATTGTTGATCTCTGGAAATATCCATCAAAATATTGTTGAAAATGATTGAAATGATGCCCAGTTGTTGAAAAATATTGGCGACTTTGTAACATATAACCATAAAAATCTGGTCTAAAATACATGGGAGCGGGTCTGTCTCTGGACAACGCCATATTAGATGCCATGTTTTCTTTTACGGGAGTCCTTGAGGACAAAACACATTTACTGATTTTTAAAAAACGATTACAAAACGTTCACCGTGAATAAACGTTGTTGTTTTACACATTTACGTCTTCACTCATTGCCACTGATTAAAGGGAGTCTAATGTGCTTGTCATTTTGCTGAAGTTTGCACTCCCTGGTCCTTTTTTGACTGTAATGGGCATCCGTTGGTAAGGTCTTACTCCAACACAAAAATACAGCTTGCTATCTACTGCCCCCTATTGCATGGAAAAATACACACTGTCACTTTAACAGCAAGAACTCAAACCATCTCAGACAGAATGGACAGACCAGCCACACTCTTGGCTGTGTAAAGTACTCAATAAATAAACATTGATTGAGTGGTTGATTGATTTTTACATAAACTCAGGCTACAGTGTAGCTTCCTAAGCACATTAAAATATAAAAAAATAAAATGATAAAGAAAGATAGCTTAAAAAATCTGTCTAAATATTAGTTCATAGAAACATTTAAGGAAAACACCTCAACAGTCGCTGCAGTGATTTTTTATTTTTTTTTTACTGTGGTTCTAAAATACTTGAATGTCCTCCCAAACATACTGTTTCTACCTGAGAATGCCTGGAAAGTGTCAGCTGTATCAGAAAGACATTTAAAGAGGATTGGAATGCTAATGCGCTCCATCTAGGGTGTGTTTATTAAAAAATGCAAAGCCTGCAAACTTTCAAGGAGAATTTCCATGCTGCTTTAAATTTTGTTTACCTCTGGAAAAATAGAAAACTTGCTGATAAACATGTTTTTAAGAAGCTTTTGTCAGAAACATAGATTACTTATACAATTGGTATTTTTGACATCCATCCATCCATCCATCCATCCATCCATCCATCCATCCATCCGAACACATTAACAAAACTGTGGGAAATCATGTAATGACACTTTTTTTGCCAGCCAAATGTACAGATGTATATTCAAACATGAAGACATTTCATTCAATAAATAGTCAAATTAAAGGGGCATTCTGGAAGTTTGACAGCCAAAACATGTATAGAAATAATAAATTTCTTCTCCATACATTCTCCTGCAATGCCCTGGTCCTGTAGAATGAGCCCTGACATTTTTACTGTGATTGCCTATTTTTCTGTAAAATCACAGAAAAAGAGAGATGCTCGGGTTGAGCAGGCTGCTTCATGCGCGTTCACGCTCAGGCATAGCCCTCCAAAGAGTTCTTAAGTGGTACAGATACAAGTGACATCACTGTCGTGTTAGCTCACCTAGTAAGACGTCGGACATTCTTGCAGAAGACCTGGGTTCGGTTCTGGATGTGAACATAGTTTATTTAGAGGTTCTTTTTTACATTAATGGTATATTTTTTTACAGTAAGATGCCCAAATTTTTATTTGAGACTCGCCGAACAGCAATGAATTCACAGATAAAAAAGATGTGGATTCAACTTTCATTTTGGAACAGTTTTTCAAGAGCATGCAGGAGGACTGTCGGCTGTGCTGAAGAGAAAGGTACAGAACCAAATTATTTAATTAACTAGCTGCGCGTTCTCCTGTCCTCTGTCCTCCGGGCCACACACACACACACACACACACACACACACACACACACACACACACACACACACACACACACACACACACACACACACGCACGCACACACGCACACACACACACAGAGCTGACTGTCTCAGCTGTTATTTTCATTGAGTGTGCACGTACAGCATGCGCGCCTCGTGCACGAGCCTACTATTGAAGCTGCCGTTACACTTATGGCCTGAGGGGGCAATCGCAAGCATAAAAAGTCAAAACTCCGTAAAGTCCCTTTAAACAACAAACCTTTTGGTATTTTGATTGTAAGATGGATAAAAAAGCAATTCAAATATGTGTCTGTGGACAAAAATAAATGAATTTGATGGTTTTATTTCCAATTCAACTCAAAATTTCAAATATATTTTTAAATAACTTATGTAAGTTTGCACCAACAAACAAATAAACTGCAGGATGCTGTGCTTTTAATTGGCTTTGAAAAGTTAAAATATTTTGATCACTTTTTTCTAAACTCTTAAGACTGAGTTGTAAATTAGTGCTGAATAATCTATCGTTCTTGGACATCGACATACATGGGTTTCCAAAGGCTCCAATAACAAGTTTTTGGACTAAAATGGGAGGTGGCCAGCACCGCCATTTTGACCGTGTCACAGGTTCCGTCAAGCCCAGACAATTCCATAAAAGGGAAGAGAGGTGGAGCTGAGGGTGGGTCTGTAAGGCTGGGATCAACTGACGACACCCGGTTGAACTAGCTACAAGCTATCCTGAAGCTAACCCAAAGCTAATGCGGAGGTGGGAGCTAAGCTAACGGAGGTAGCAACCTAGCTACAACCGGAGTTAACTGTGCACAACACCAGAGCTTCTGAGTCAGAGATACGCCGGGCTGACCGCTGGGTAAAACCGGGTGGAACACAGAGGTCTCGGAGACCTCCACAAGCCGGCAGCCGCACAGCAGACAAGCGCCGCTGCGCAGAGCTGCCGCTGGGGAGAACTGGGCGGAAAGGTTTCCATCCCAGAGCTCCACAAGCCGTCAGCCCGCCGCAGCACACAGAATCCGCGATCAGAAAGAGATGCGCCGATCTGCTGGGAGAACCAGCCGTCAGCCCGCGCAGCTAACAGAAGTCGCGATCAGACGGAGATGGACCGGGCTGTGGGGAGAAACAGCCGGCATTCCGGGTGGAAAACATTGGTCTCCCGAGAGCTCCACAAGCCAATAGTCAGAACCCAGCTCCACCAACATGTTATATTTCAACCCATTTTCTAAAGTGCAGCATTATGTTAAATGCACTGGGTTTTACCCTATTACATTTAAATTTCATGGTTAAACAGTACATTTTAAAATCTAAGCTCAGCTCGGCAGTGACCTAAAATACATAAATATAATTTTACTTACTGAAAAAAATGAAGTGGAGACTCCTTGGGCGCTCTATTAGTGCAATTAATGCCACAGCAAGTCATTTTGTCCAACAATTGCACAAAAAATATCCAAAACAGAATACACACACACAGAGACTCAAAATCCCAGAACAGTTTCCAGGCCAGACCGAGGCTCTACTGAGGCCTTTCCACGGAGCTAGCTCTGTGGTCACGTGGGTCGGATGCTCATTAATTATACAGAATTTTAGGCTTTTAATACACTTAAACAGAAGAGTGAGAAAAAAATTCACCCCCCTCAGAGTTGTCATGAGTGTAAACTAGATCATTTAAACCAAAAACATGTTTTGGTACCAGGCTGTAAACATGTTTATTTCTGCTGTGAAATTGGTATTTTTAACATGGGAGTCTATGAGGATTTGCTCGCTTCTGACACCAGCCCCCAGCGGATGAGGGTGGAACTGCAATTTTTGGTACTTCCGGGTTGGGACCAATTTTAGAGCCGCTGTCGTCTGCATTGTGGGGGCTTGTTCTTGGACTGAAATTGCAATTTCAAACAGAATGATCATGTGACTGTCAAAGCTGCGGTTTTAGCAGTTTTGACTGATCCAGGATCAGTTGTGTAACTTTTTTAACATCCGGGGTTTCCCCCTGTATTATGGTGGCGGCAAAAGCCAGCACGGGGGAGGGGGTGGTGTGTAGTGACCAGAGTCGAGCCCAACTCCACAGCTGACAGAGCTGCATGTTCAGGTGATTTTCCCTGTTTTACGTTCCCACACACAGTGCTGCTAGAGCCGATAATAGTGGCACTGTAGGTCAGCCCGGGACAGAGAGAGAGAACGTAGTTGAGTAAGGGAGAGAGAGACTCCTCCCACATTAATGGGCTCGACACACAGGAGGTGACATCGCCTCTCCTCCATTCATTTTCAATGAGACATGCACGACAAAGCGATAATGGTGGGTCTCCCTCCTACTAAGCGAAACGCGAAAAACGTGCATGTGAAATTTTGCGCTCGTGCACGTGTCGTGCACAGGCGACCCAGCGACGCGATCCCAGAAAGTTGAAATATTTTCAACTTTTCATCGCTGTCGCTCGGACGAGGACCAATCAACGGAGGTTTCATTCACTGACCAATGAGCGGACAGGACGCTCCGTACATCTCCGAGCAAACATGGAGGAGAAAGTTGATACTTGCAGTGATGGATTTCCCAGAACTACAGTATTTCTACCAAAGAATATAGAGATATTCACAAAAAGGCAGCGGCATGGGAAGTTGTTGGTGCCAGAATTAAATGATGGTATTCTACGTTTCTTTCTCTGGTTTGTAATATGGGATGAACCCATTCTCGTTTTTTTTTTAATATAGTAAAATCAGAAGTAAGATTTCACATAACTCTAGCAGCACCCTGTGAAACATCATATCTACCGCTTTTTTTAACTGAACCGCTTAAATAACCTTAATTCCCTACAACCTGACTCAGCCAATCAAAACAACAGAAGATTCGATTTCGCCATGGAACAGAACGTACCAACGGCTTTGCCGCTGGCCGCTCCCGCGGGTCGACTCCCATGTGTCGAGCCCATAAAGCTTGGTTTATGCGTCATCAGCACGAGTGCAGAGTCGCACACTTTAGTTGACTCTTTTTAAAAACGGTTTGAATGTTTCTGATGGCACACGTTAGTTCAAACAAGCTAAGGTGTCAGAACGTGGGCGTCTCTCTCACAGAACTGATGTTTTAGTAAGGAAAAACTATCAGACGGCTTGGTAATGAGGTGAAAACTGTGTGCATTTTTAACTTAATACATTTAAAAGCTGTTTCTACCTACAGATTTCCTCCATGCATTTTTGGAGTAAAACATGTTTTTATAAAGCTCCTCTCTAGATAAAAAGCACAAACACAGGTTGCTTCACAAACACATTAAAAAGTAATTCGAATCTAGACCATCTTTTCACTTAATCTACAGGATGGCTTGGCAAGCTAGTGTTGGACCTTTGTTTGCAGAAAATCTTGAATTGAACCAAAATCGCAATTTCTGCTAGAAAAATTTAAATTCAATCTTTTCCGAAAACCGTTCAGCCCTATTGTAAATAATATTTTTTTATTTATGTCTATTACATTAAGGCTAAACTTAAAGTGTAACAAAAAGACTGTGTAGTTGATGATAAAAGCTTTTCTTCCAGTGCAGTGAAGCCAATCCAACATTAGATCTCAAGATAACATCGCAGCCTCCTTCACAGAAATAGATATCTTTATATAACGTAGTCAGTGAGCAGATACTTAGTAAACTAAAAGGTCCAGGACCGAATGAAAAGCATCTCTACCATCACAACAGAGACAGGATGTGAAACCTGAATCCTGAGCTGAAAATAATCCATTAGTTAAGGCTGTTCATTCAATCCATCTGTAAGAAAATGAAAAAAAAAGCTTTCTGTACACCCCCAGATGCACAACCTCATGCACCTGGGAATTCACACACACACACACACACACACACACACACACACACACACACACACACACACACACACACACACACACCTTCAGCTACACTTTTCTTGAATCTGACGAGCATGCAATGATGTCCGCCCACCACCCCCTTCTGTCCTTTTCTGTTTCGGCTGTGATAGAGATTGCTCTGTGGATGTGTGTGCTGTTTGCTGAGCTGTGCGTGTGTTTGCCAGTGAACTGTTATCTAAGGCCTAGATAGCTTTTTTTGTGCGAATGTGCCGCGCCTTTTTTTTTCGGTGTGAGCGTTACTCACGTAGCAGATACTCTGCAGCATCTTGGTCGTAGTCGGCATCGTCTGGGAAATGATTGATCTGGGAGCACACGCCTCTCTTCAGGCCTGAAAACAAAATGCAAAATAAGGAAGGAGGAAAAGGTTTATGAAGGACGTGAAGATAAGCAAAAACAAAAAACAAGAGCTACCCAGTCTGATTCCCACAATGTTTCATGTTGAATCTTGTCTCAAATGATAAATAGTGTCCTTAACAAAGGCACAAGTATAAATACTTAACTTTTCTTACTTGTCATTTGAAAATTCTTAAATATTTTTCTTTATTCTGGATTGTCGCACAAAATCTCTTTGGGGTGTTTTTTTCAATTCCAAGCTACAAATCCCCCAATACCCTGAACGCAACTTAGTTTAAGGTGTTTAAGGACACACGAGGACGTAATATTCAACACTTCAGCTTCTCAGCTCTTAATCTCCCAGCCTAATCCCTGCAGTTAAAAAATTAGCAAATGATCCCCAGTTTTTAGTGTTTGTGCATTTTTACATCTGAATTTGATCTCACGTCAGTAACTAATGAGTCATTAGTTACTGACGTGAGATGAAATTTAGATGTAACCCTAACGCTAACAACTATACTGTAATGTGCCTTTTTACGTCACCAGTGCATTTGTCCACTCTCATCTACACATAATATTCCTTATTTAGCATAAATACACAGTTTAAAATCCTATTTTTATTTATTTTAAACAGCAAAAATCTAAATTCAACCTTGGAAAGGGTTGCACCATCACCCTATGAACATTTTCATGTGATACAGCTTTCATTTAGATGTTTAGTTAAACTAGAACTCACACATAATTAGAAAGACCAGACCCCAAAAAACAAATTAATTATTAATTACTAAGATTCTGAAAAGTAATTAGGGGCCAAATAAAATGTTTTTTAGATGGTAAGTTAAATCTTCAGAGTTAAAGTTAAAGACAATTCAAATCATGCAAAGAAAGTTTTCATCCAGTATGATGTGCTTCACATCTTTCCTAATCCTGAGAATCAGAATCCGCTTGATTTAAGTGAATAAAATTAATTTACTGCTACTACCACTACTACTACTAGTACTACTCAACTAATAATAATTATAACAACAACAAGAAATGAGGATGTTTGATATTAGCTGATAATATTGGCATCAAAATGTAATGGAAATTTGTGTTATTGTTTTTTTTACTCTTTTAATTTACACTTTTACATACCACACACATATTGCACATAAAACTCTTTAGCTACTTCTACTCTCACTCAAAATGTAAAATATGACGGATCCAAGGTAAAGTTCTTTTTATACTGTTTTGTTTGTTTGGCTAGTAGCTGTCATATTTTGCAAGGATAATTTTTCATGTTTAAGTCTTTATCGCGGGAGATGTTTAATGGTAATTGCCTAAAATGATTTGGTTGTATTTTTTTTACTTTGGCAGAACCCAGCATGAATTGGTATTGGTTAATATCGGTTTTAAAAATTAAGGTTATATCCCTAGATGGGATATCGGTGAAATAGCCAATACTGAACATCCCTAATAAAAATGTAGTATAGTATAGTAAAAGTAGGTTTTGTACGAATGCAACAAAAAAGAAACAAAACCAAAAAGAGCAAAGTCTGAAACACCTGAAACCTGACAAGAAAAATACCAAAACAGCTTTTGAAAATAGATTTCAGGCTGCATAATAAACAATAATTTAAATAATTAGGAAATGCATTAAAACACATTACAATAAAGCATTAACAGTTGTTGAAACACCATGCTACTAACTGAAAATCAGCAAAAAATGCAAACAGAAAGATAAATGCAAATGATCTAATTTAGTTCCAGTCACTTTTAAGCAACCTTATTCTAACAAAATACAGTTTATATAGAGTAAATTCTGCAGGGGTAGGATCAAAACCATTCTCATCAAACTATTCAAATCAATGTGTTGAAGGAGGCATTTTAATTTAAAGAGCCAATTATTTCTAAGTTAATTCAACTCTAAACATGAGTAGCAATGGAAATTAAAAGGGGAAAATCCATGAAAACATACAGAACAAATCACTGCTTTTGTCCTGAGGAGTGTGAAATGAGAGCACCAAGGATTCAGAGTAAGTTTTTCCAGCTTAACAAAAATTCAAATAAAGCATCCAACAGAAGTAGAGACACATATCACACATGTAACGAGTGTCTGTGAGTGAGAGAACACCTATTCCTGTTTGGCCTGATCGCACACTGAGAACCTCGACAAGACCCCTCAGAGAAAAATGCATGACAAGGCTGAATCCCTCATCACACAGGCAGGTTGTTTCAGCTCTCAGACACACACACACACACTTTCCCACCAGCTATACCTTCCAGGCAGCAAATCCTCCAGAGGCCAGAGTGGGTGAGAGCCCCAGGGTCTTTCTTGTCCTTATTGTTGGAGTCCTCCTGGGATGAGTTAGCTGTGCTGTTGCAGATAAAGGCGCGGGCGTAGAGCCAGTAATCCGTACCGATGGCCACCGTCATGAGGGCAAAAGCTGCAAAGGCTCCCATGGTGGTCAGCAGCACCTGGATGCCTCGCTCCCACCAAACCATGGCAGGACGGGGAAGAAAACTGATGTCTGAGGGGAAAAACAGACGAGAGCATCCGTGTGGTCTTCCCCCGGCACAGATTCAGCCACAAGAATGAACACATTCTATTGAATAGCACCTTTATTATCCAAATTTTAACACACTATTTGTTCATTTTGCAAAACCCAACCTGTGACAATCTAGTGAAAGTTCTCAAATAAACTTGAACATTTTGTGAAACATGACCTTTGGTGGACACCAGCAGTTTTGACACCATTTTCCACCCACCTATAGTTGTCTGTTCTGATAATTGTTCCCATCGTGCTTTAGACCCGATGCTGTTTCTAACTTAGGACCAGACTTTTTGTGATTTTAGCATAATTAAAAATACATAAATAAATAAACGCTTTTTAGTTTCAGCGTTTGAATTAATTAATGCAAGATTCAATTTAGAACTCTTCACAGTTTGATCATTTAAATTTGTCCTGAAAGGACACGCGTCTGACAGAAAAAAATATACAAACTCTCATAAAAGTGCTTGTGTTCCACTATAGAGTCTGAAATGAACTGTAAAAATATTTATGCATTAATAGAGCTAGACCCCCCCCCCCCCCTCCCCCCCCAACTTTGACCAACAGTAAGAATGGGACATTTCACATTTAAAAATGGTCAAATTAAATTAACTTTTACTTAACAAGACATATTTAATGATTTTAAGTGTGTGTCTGATCAATTTTTCTCCAATCATATTTGTCAGCAGACCTTTCAGCCAGTCGAACATGAGCAAATGTTCAGCTTGGTCATATCAGCATTTCTCCACATGTCCTCTGAATACTGAAGCATCTGTACACATCTGGTCTCGGTGTGTGTGTGTGTGTGTGTGTGTGTGTGTGTGTGTGTGTGTGTGTGTGTGTGTGTGTGTGTGGTTTCCTATGACTGTTTATTTCAGGTTGTAATACAAAAAAATCCCTGATCTTCACACATGAGAGTCATGTATGAGCATGTGTGAATGCACATGTGTCTCAGGTCTGTTGTGTATGTAAGATCAAGTGTGTGAGTGTGTGTGTGTGTGTTACCTGGGGGCATATTCCTCCCTTTCGTCTCCATCTCCTCTCCCCCCTGCTGCTGCTGTTCTTCTTCGTCAGTGAAGAGCGCTCCGTAGCCCCGGTCCAAGCCGCCTCCATCCACCGTTTATCCTTCACTTTCTCACCTCTTCTCCTTCTTCTTCTTCTGCTATTTCCTCTCTTCTGAGCCCTTCACACTTCTCTTTTCTCCCTTTTTCTCTTTCTTATTTCTCCTTTGTTTTAGATCTCGGGTATTCCTTCGTTTGTTCTCAGCAAGTGGTGGGCACTTCAGTTACCGTCCTTTCTTCTCATTGAATTGTCATGGCAGTCATCTTAGCTAGTGAAAGAGGCAAGCAAGAGGTGGTGAGAAGGTGGGGGAGTTGGAGATTGATGGTTCATAGAGAGCAAATGAGAAAAAGGAGAAAAACAAGAGGGACAAAAGCAAATGACAGGCATTGTAAAGTGAAGAAGAGAGAGATGATATCAGGTGATACTGGAATCGATGATGAAACATAAGTCTGGAAACAGATGATGCTTCAACTAAAGGATCTCTCTTAAAATGACATATCAGGAAAAAGAATAAATAAATAAAAATCCAAACCTGATGCCAGCGGCAAAAACGAGCCCCCTGTCAAAGAACAGAAGCTGGTTTGCCTCCACAGAGAGAGAGAGAGAGAGAGAGAGAGAGAGAGAGAGAGAGAGAGAGAGAGAGAAAGAGAGAGAGAGAGAGAGAGAGAGAGAGAGAGAGAGAGAGAGAGAGAGAGAGAGAGAGAGAGCAAAAGAAAAGAACAGGCAATGCGAGAGAGCGTGCTCTTGTCCATTACCATGGCAACAGTGAATTCCAAAGTCTATGGTGAAGCTGGCAAGTGTGCATGTATGTGTGTGTGTGTGCGTGTGTGTGTGTGTGGATTTGTTGGGGGAGTAAAAGGGTGGATGTAACAGCTGAGAGGATTTAGCAGAGATTTTTTTTTTAAAAAGGAAGAAAAACAGTGTGTGAACTCCATTAGTGTGCTGAGGATGTTCTACATGCCAAACGCTTGAAACACAAGTTTATGTACGGCTGCACTTGGAAGATGAGGAATGAACATTCACAGGAGAGATGACAGACTTGTGAGTCACTTGTGCTGCGGTCACAGTGTCTTGGCATGTTTCATCCATCCAACTTTCTTCCTGCTGGTGCCACAGCTTAATCACAGCCATTTAGCGCTGTTTCCTACTTTGAAATGCACAATGCAGATTTTTCAAAGCTGAAAGATCAAGTAGAGGATTTGACACCCATCTCAAGGGCATTTGATCAGAACAGCTGATCTTGTTTGAACCTCTGTCCTATGTTTGAACGCTTTTGCTGGAGAGAAAAATCCCCATCAGCTCTGACATGAGGTCCTCTTTTAGTTTTTTTTATTAAACTTATTTATTTAAATTTCTATTAGCAGCTGTTGCTGAAACTGCAGGGCAACCGGAATCCACATGGGAGGCATCTGGAGCAGCACAGCATGAAATCTGAACATGTATTATGTTAACAGCACATCTTGGAATGCTTTTAATCCTTGTGACCTAGTCAGACCAAAACAAATACCAAAAGTAGTTCTCAAAGGTAAAATAAATAAAAGGGTTAACATCTGAACACGTGTTTTGTTACTTCAGCTGTGTGACGGGACAAAGGTTATTTTATAACCTTTTTTAATGAAGGAACAATTATTACCTGATTAAAACAGTTAAGTTTAGTTTAGAATTTAGTTTTTGTCATGGTCTGCATCTGCCCCTTCCTTATGTGCCTCCTGATGTTTCTCCATCCCTCTCTAGATTCCCTTCTGTGTCTCATAGCGCCCTCATGTGTCCTTTGTCTGCGTCTCAATTATGTGTCTTATGTTTGTAGCCCTTTAAAGTCAATTCCTCCCAGGTCCTGTGTCATTCATTCATCCCCAGCCCTCCAGGTCTTCCTTCACATTCTGTAGCTCCAGCCTCTTTGTCCCCTGCTCAGTGTTTGTGTGTGTGTGTGTGAGTCCTTCCCTCAGTCTTAGGTTTAGTTTTATGTTTTAGGTTTATCTGCCCTCCACTGGTTCTGTTTTCCCCATTTAGATAATTTGTGTCACCTGCCTTCCCTCCAGCCCTCACTCCACACACCTGCTTCCTGTTTCATTAATTGTTCTCCATGTGTATTTAAGCCTTGTCTTGTCACTCTGTGGTTGTTGGTTCATTGTCTTGGTCAGCGTTGTTTTGTCTTCAGTCTCCAGTCTCTAGGTCTCTGCTCAGAAGGTGAGCTTTTGGTTTTTGGATCTGAGTTTAGTTATTAGGTTTTTGTCTTCGCCCCTTGGATTTTTGGTTCTCTTCCTAAATAAAGGATTTTTGCTTTTCAACCGCTCCTGCCTGTGTATTCTGGATTTCCTGCACCTTGGGTCCAAACCTCCTGCTCTCAACGTGACAGTTTTGACCAAAATGACAAGCTATCAGCTAATCGGACCACTCCTTTCCACGACAGACATGTGAGAAAAGTGTTACAAAAAGAGACGTTTTCCCCACAATCTCCCTTCTAACTGGGACCATTTCAGACACAAAACGGGAGCGCAGCTGGTCGCGCGAGAAGAACAACAACACCACACGTGGTTTCGGGCATTCACACAATAACAAGCATGGCGAAAGACAGCCGCGTTTATCTAAAAAGGTCTGTGATTTATTTTCTGTTCTGTTTACCTCGGCTACGAGGGTTTCACAGGAAATTGTGTACATTATTTACCAGTTAAACTACTGGAAATCTGCACTTGACTTATTTTGAAGGTTTCTGGATGTTTTACTTTGCTGACATTTTCTGGAAGTGTAGCACATAAAATATAGACTCAAAACGTAATGGATGCAACCTCATGCTTCTGGGACACGTCCAAATCGTGATGTTAATTTCCGCAAAGTACTTTTTACGACGCCTTCGCGTCTGGCAGAAAGGAGGGTTAAGTGTAGCCAGATCCTAGGTCATCTCAAATATTTTATAGCTGTTCAAGCCAATCTTATATATATATATATATATATAATCTTTACTCCACCATACATGTTAAATTCCATGGGTATTTATGTATTTACATGGTTTATTTGCAATGTAGATAGACTGCAATAAAACTGGGATTTCGTAATGTATGCCGTAACAGTAAAGCAATTTAAAAGTCTTTGCAAAATCATAAGCTAGTATTTGCTTTAGCTACATAGCTACACGGAAATTTATAAAACTGGAATTGTTTTAGGAAACATAAAACTGTAACTGGCCCTTGTGAGGCTAGTTGTGTTTGATCTGAGTTTCCCCTAATTTAGGCTGTTAAAACTAGAGATGCCACGTTCCATATCCATATCGAAGTAATTCGATATCGGCCCAAAAACAGTGTATCGGATTATATCGGAAGGCATCAAAAATCTCCGATATAAGCAGTCCATTAAGGTTCCCATTTTTGCAACCAATGGTTAAGAAAAAAAAATTGTAATTTTTTTCATACTTATTGTTATTATCTCATGTTCTCCGATTAAGTAATATCACTTGATCCTTTTTATGCCTTCCACACAACGAAATAGGTATAAGTATGTATGATTTATGCTGATATCAAATCAGATTGATATCGGTATCAGTCAGTACTGAATGCTGCAATATCGGTATCGTATCGGAAGTGAAAAAGTTGTATCGGGACAACCCTAGTTAAAACTGCTGAAAGACGTAATTACTCACCTTTTTCCACTGAAACAGTCTTTATTTAGAGATCTAACCTTTTCTGTTATATTAAAACAAACAAAAATATGTGTCATGGATTTTATCAATATGTTTATCAATAACCCATTTCCTGTAGTCGGAGAGAAAAGGGAGACAATGAACAAGTCTGCGCAGTGGGTAAACAAGGCTGTGCAGTGGTTTACCCTGTTGCCTCGCAACATGAAGGTTGCAGGTTCAAAACTCGGCTGCAGCCTTTCTGCGTGGAGTTGCGTGTTCTCCCCATGAATGCGTGGGTTTCCTCCGGGTACTCCGGTTTCCCCCACAGATCACAACATGCCCTATAGGTTATAAATTGTAAGTCGCTTTGGATAAAAGCGTCAGCTTAATGAATAAACATAAACATGAACAACATAAAGTCAAACAGTTATACCTGTGGCAGATGCGTTCTACGAGCAATACATTTACATTCAGTTGATTGAGTCCATGATCAAGAATTAATAACATTAAGTTTTTCATAACAGTAAGTCTGAAATTTTTTACATTATTGAAATTTCACATTTTTTTAACCAAGATCTTTTTTTTAAATGGGAGCTTTAGGTAAAATACGCCAACATAATAGCTGAGAAATTTTAAAGTAAAGTTTAGTAAAAAAGAAAAGCTGGCAGGGCAGCACAACAAAACTTGGAAAGGAAGTAAAGACTGGAACACAAAGGAAACACCAGGGAACCTGAAACCTGCGAGGTGGAAACTGTGACCTGACAAACAGTGAGGAACACAGGAGTGGATGTGCTGGGGCAGGCGACTGATGTCACAAATAAAGCCCAGTTGAGGCAGGATGAATTACTGTAGAGCTGAGGGAAATGACAAAACAATCTAACTCAAACCTCAGAAGGTCCCAAGCAAATAAATGACAGCAATATGACTAAATTTTTATTTTAATAAGAAGGAATGAATGAAATTACTAAACAAAGAACATGACAACACTTCCACTGTTTCATTATCTGTACAAATCTAGCCATGGAGTCTCATTTAATATTAACCAGGCACAATTTGCTGCATCCTGTTTTATTTACTTTAAGATGCATTAAAGCAGAAATTCAGAGTTTTCTCCCTTTCAGGAATTATGTGTCTTTTTTTTTTTTTTGTAGAAATCCATAACAGGGAAAGTCTTATCTGTACTTCACACTGGAGGCACCAGCGGTGTGGAACGGTTTACTCGCCAGTTTTACTGCTGGGAGAATCTCGGTCACGGAGCGACTTTTCCGCTGTGCTCCTCGCTGGATTCACGAGATCACAAAATCCCTCGAGACTTCAAAGGTCACGCATTTTTTATGCTGTCCACCATTAAACCAAAATGACGAAACTCACGTTTGATGTTGCGCATGATGTTGTTCTTCTCTACTGCCAGGATTAAAGGATTAAACACCCAGTTGCACTTCTCCAACAATGTTGGGAATAAATAAGCTGTTAGGTCACATCTATTGACTTAATCTACATAGATATGAAATGGCAGCATAACGTGAGCGTGAGATTAATTATTGGGATAATGGAGCTTCTCAGCTTATAGTAGCCTGAGTGGAGAATGGTGGTTTTCTTAAAGTGACAGAGCCAAGAAATGGCTCATTCTGGAAGGTACTGAACATTTCAAGAAAAAAACTGCTGAAATGACTTCATGTGAGAGGAATTTTATGCAGAACTTCACAAATGTGTTTTATGGACCAAATAACTATTATAACTTAGGACAAACAGTTTTCCAGTTTTTTTTTTGATTGCTAAAACTCAAAAAGCAAAAATGAGGCACAATTTTCACAACCTCTACTTCTGTTCCCAATCGCTTGACTCAGTTTATCACTACTTAAGACTTCCTTATCATATTAGAACTGGGATTTTCCTCCTTTACACTCTGATGTCAATTTCACATTACCTTGCTGTCAAAACACAGCACACATTTTTCAGGTTTACAAACACTTCTCACATAAATTCTCAAAGCTTCAATCAACAACACACAAATATTCAAATCTCTAAACTTTCGGGTCTGGCGAGCAATTTGCAATCAGGGACTGCAGCATA